GACCCTTGCTTTTTAAGATGCTCAAGTTTCATAATTTTTCTAAGCTTTTTATGAACCCTTCGAAAAAATACGAGTAAGAGTTTATAGGGCAAACCCTACAGAATGCAAAACAACTTTTTTCTCTTTTCCATAACTCGTCTTACATTTTTAACAGAATTTAACTGGTGCTACCGATTTTCTTGCTTGGACAGATAATCCTCGTAGAACATTAAAGGAAGAGCAGCTCGGGCACTGTTCGATGCAGCATTTTCTCCTCTTTCTAACGGTTCTTTTTTGTTTCCGATTCGTTTAGTTTTCGAGGATAAAATCACCGTAACTCATTTTTTTCAACAAGCCCCGGGTGTCCGAAAAACTCGTGTTAGTTCGAATCCGTAATTCCTCATTTGCTTTGTAAAAATAGTGTTAACTCATAGTACCATCTTGTAATCTCAAATTCCAAATAATTATGATGTCTGATCGATTGTGGCTGATGTAGACCTGCCAAAATCCAATGGTTTTGTTGAAAAATTTAAAAAAAAAAATTATCGCAAGCTGTGAAAAAGACAAGAAAGCTGTACTGTGTTCTGCAAGGTTTGCTCTATCGAATCGTTAATTGAGCTCCTTCTGTGGATTGATAAGAAAGTTTTGAGAGATCGTGAAACTTGTCATTTCAAAAAGCATAGGTCGCAGATTTTGGTTATTTTTTGAAACCTCATTGAATATGTTGCAACATTTTCATAACCGTTAGAGAATGAAATGCTGCATCAAATGCTATCAAGATCTCTTAGAAATCATTGTTACATCAAATGTGGTACCCGTTTGAAAAAAGCGAAATTACTTCAGGAATGACCTAATATATTCGGGACTTTGAGGCAACAAAATTTTTTTTTTGGAAAAACAGAAATTTTCAAATTTCAATTTTTTTCTCGCAAACGTTTTTGTCCGACTGCTCTTTATTGTATTACTACTGGCTTGCGGCTACAAGATAGGCTACTTATCATTCATACTAACATACTTTGAAGGAAGTTATGAATTGTCAAAAACAAGGTTCCAGCAGAAGAACCTTTTGTTTTTCAATCCATATTTTTCTGCCCTTTCGTGGTGTGAGTATAAGTAGATGTGCGCTGTATTGCACTTGCAGAAGGTTTGCTGCTTTTGATAATCGTTATCATATTCAGAAATGTGAATCTTTTAAAAAGTTATAGCACGGCAAAGTGAGAATTCGCAAAACGGTCATTAATTTTGCACTAACCTAATAGTTTGAAAATTTTTTTGGATGGATGATTATCACTGCTCCATTGAAAAGCTAGAAAAACTATTAAGGCTACTTTGTCCTACTTGAACACGGAATTTTTTGCTCCAGTGAGCGCTCATATTCCTCGTTCATAAACGTTCTGCAGATGTGGAAGGCAGGCCCTTCATATGGCATACATCCCATCTAAAAAGGTCACTTCGACTAAACTGCTTACTTTGTAAGAAGCTCACTAATAGCTGATCTTGTGTTCAAAGTCATTGCGCTTGCTGCTATTTGCCTCCATCGCATCATTCTTAATTGTTTTTTTACGTTTTTCTTCATTGCACTTCTTATTTTACCCAATCAACCATGCGCACAGCTCTACCCCTCAACTCCACCGCAAAGTGCACCTATAGTTTCTCGGATGAGAGTGCTCAAGCCTTCCTTTCCATAACTCGCCTATGTAAGTGCTTTGACTTTTCTCATTACCGAATTCCCTCATTGTTTTCATTCTCTCGAGTTTCACAATCCTATTTCTCAAAGTTTTTCTGATCAGTCTGCCCGAGGTACATCTCCTCTTCTGGAACTCTCTTGAAATGTTGACTTTCCAAGGTACCCTCTCTTTCCATCCGTGTTTCTGAGTTGATCGCCAGAATGAAAAAGACCGCGTGCTTTCAACAATTCTGGCTTGAAGGAGAGATGGGTAGAAAGCAAAAAAAATTGTCTTTTGTGCTCAACTGAGTCAAAAGTAGGGCTTTTTAAACGATGAGAATGACTTGTGAGAAGGGGATTGTAGATGCGAAGAGGGCAAAAGGTATCATATGGCATTTTGCCAGATCGCAAAGATCTTATGGACAGCAAACATTGCTTAGGCCAAGGCCAAGATGTTGTAAACCACTCAATTTTGTACCACACATCTCAAAATCACTTCAGTTGATTCGGAAATGACATTTGAAGGCAGAAGAGCGTCTAACAGGAGAAAGATGGAGAAAGTTTTGTTGGGCGAGTAAGGATCACAAGCTCACCGACCTTCTCGACCAGGCAAAGCCCCATACCATAAAGCTGGCTGAATGGCTGATGCAGCGTAGGATGCTCCCAGAAAAGTTAGACAGGCACTTACTATTTTTTTGAAATTTGTGTAGTATATTTGATTTGCCACCGCTTTTATTGACGCGTTGTGAACCAGTATGTAAAACATGGTCTATAGTACCCTTTGAATCATCGAAATTGACTGCTGAAAGGCGGGGTTTCAAAGCCTAATCGAGCTAGGGAATGGTAGAGAGCATGCTCGCGAGGGAGACGTAAACGGCGCCGCGGATGCGAGCGGTCGCCTTCACCCACCAATCTTTAATCAAAGGGTCGGTAACTTGTCATTATTATGATCTTGTTAGGAAAAGTGGCAAATGTTTTGAACCTTGGCTTCACCGTCACCGTCACCACTAAAACATCAGCGCTTGGCTATGTGTTCACTGAGATGATCGATGAAGGGGGAGGGGAGAGGGGCGGGGAAGGTTTAGACCAATTTGCCGATTAGGAATTAGTGGCTATTGGCCCACATCATTATGCAGCTTCTCTCAACATTGACAAATTCATAAACTTTGAGCAGTGAAAGTGTGGGTTATCATACTGACGGTTCTAGAGCGGAAAATCATCCTTTGGTATACTGTGAATCTCCTTTGTTTTGAGACAGGGGCGCAAGATGACGCAGCGATTACTAGTGGGTGCACTTCTACTTCGTCATCGCTGCCAATACCCTGACTACAGCATTGGAACAACATCTCTTCGAGGTGGGTGGCCCTCATAGTTCACCATCAAACAATCTGAACAAACAGCAAAATCTACGTTGCATTCGATAATGATCAGTTCGATCCTCCGCAAAAGGCCTCGGACAGAGTTCACGCGATTTGGTCATCGCGATTCAATCGCTAAAGACAAGTGTTACGAGTTCATTGCATGCCGATTTTCTTGTTATTCGATTGTGATAGTTTTCCAACACGACTAATCGTGACTAACTATCACAACCGAAATATAAGAAGATTGGCATGCAATGAACTCGTAACACTTGTCTTTACGGTCGGGCATACTTCACGCGACTTCAGTCGCGGCGCGGCATGACAATTCGCCAGAAGTGTTCAGATCCAACACTGGCAAACTGTACATGCATAGTTTGTATAAATCACTTGGATTGATAAAATGCCCTATCTTCTGTACATTTGAAATGTGCTTACAACGAGTTATGGACAGTTGGAATCTTGCCAAATCGCGTGAAGTATGCCCAGCCCTTTTAGGTCTAAGGCTACCTTTCGCGATTTCGCGAAATCGCCCCATCCTCGCGACTTGGCGATTTACCAGATGTCTAGAGATTAAGCATGCGAGACTTTCAGATGCATGGGTGCGTAGATTCCGTAAACTGTAACAAACGCAGCAATTTTGGCCCATGCAAAGTGCCTTTACGACCAGCTACGGAGAGTCGTTGCGGTGCCAAATCGCGCCGCGACTAAAATCGCGTGAGGCATGCCTTAAGGGCCGAGCATACTTCACGCGATTCCAGTCGCGACGCGATTTGGCAATATTCCAACTGTCCATAAATCACTAAGGGCACATATTAAATGTACAGAAGATAGGGCGTTCTATCAATCTAGGTAAGTTATACACACTATGCATGTGCAGTGTGCTAGTGTTGGATTCGAAGAGTTATGGCAAATTGCCAAATCGCGTCGCGACTCAAATCGCTTGAAGTATGCCCGGCCCTTTAGGCCTTAGGCCCCGGACAGACTTCACGCGATTTGATCGTCGGATTCAATCGCCAAGATTTCCATTCATTTTCATTTCACATTCTAAAATTTCGGGCTGGAAGAGCATCACAACCGAATGCAAGTTGATCGGCATGGAATGATGTTGTAACAGTTGTCTCGTCGCGACTCAGTCGCGACGATCAAATCGCGTGAAGCCTGTCCGGGGCCTTAGGCTTAAAGGCAGTGTCCAGGCTAAACCTAACCCCCTCCGATTAGTGTCGGTCCTGAATGTAGGCCCCAGAAAAGGGGCATCTGCGTTGGTCCGGTCTTCTAACGTTGTCCCTGAATGGAGATAAGGGGCCTGAAAGTCCCTGGCTGGGCGGGGTCTGATATCAGACTCCGCCCACCAGGGACTGCTCACTACCTTGTCAATACGTGCCTCCCGACAAGTATTGACAAGATAGTGAGCAGAAGCTGCACACTGCACACTGCAATGCAGCTGCACCCATGCAGTTGCAGCTCATTCCCGCTAGCCTGCCGACGGGGACGAGCAATTCGAAACTCGTCCGCGCCCTCAAGACTGGGTCCCCAGGAATCGGGTTTTTTGTGAATTTTAGAGAGTTTGAAGTTCGGAACTGTAATCAGGGCCACGGAAAGGCCCCAGAATGACGAAAACATGGGGGGTTAAATTCTGGGTGGACGCTGCCTTTAAGGCATACCTAGCGCGATTCCAGTCGCTGCGCGATTTGGCACAACAGCGAATATCTGTAATTCGTCGTTGATGCGCTTTCTTTGGTTAGAACTTGACCCATTTGGAACAACTTACACAAGCTACCCGGATATGCGTTCGAGAAAAGCGCAGGTTAAATTTGTGGAAATCTGGCAAACCGTCAAGTCGCGTGAAAGTGGCGATTTCGCCGCATCGCGTGAGGTATGCCTTAGGTCTTAGCGATTGAATCGCAACGATCAAATCGCGTGAACTCTGCCCACGGCCAAAGATTGTTTCATTTGGATGCTCTGGAACATGGCTATTGCAAGAGCTAAAAACTGACTTCGTGGCTACACCGTCCCAAAGCATAAGCATCCATTTCTTCCTTTTTCTTCGCATCTGTCACTTCTCGTGATGATAATTTGTCTTCTTTGCCATAAAAAGTCTGGAATTATACAAATTTGGAGAACATGGCGAAAATTGGTGGGGAGATCTTCTTCGAGCCATCCTTTTTGTGCTGACCTTATGTCGTTCTATCTCACGAAAAATGTACGCAATACAAACTCCAATTGTCAATATGACTGCCAATCCAAAAGCAATTGCCGCTGGTACCCATGAGGGGATATCAATGGACACTTCACAACCAGCGCTGCTCATCTTGAACCAGCGCATTCACATTATTGATGAGTCGAACAACTTACAGCTTAGAGCTGCCAATGACTACAAAATGGTCATCTCTGCAGTAAGATTGGAATTCATTCTTGCTATCACCATAGCATCATTCTTGCTATACATGCTGCTAGATAGCTGTCTGTACTTGACTATTAGTACTAATACCAGTAGTGGTAGCACGACAGAAAACAAAATGTCCTACAATGTCTTAATGGGGCTAACGTATAGAGGAACGAACTTCGAGCAAGCGCGAACTTGGTTTTTTGTGCTGCTGTTGCATCCTGTAGGGGCTATAGTCCGTTGCGGAAGCGTTCACTCCCTTACTCGGCATCAACTTGTGTCGGACTCTGACGCGGTCTACTGGACTACTCTCTAACGCTCATTTGGGAACTTTTTGAGGGCAGCCTCCCTAGTATAACACTGAATCTTCAGAATAAGCAAACAAGCACTTTACAACTAAAGAAAAATTGCTCGTTTCAGCAAAAACTAAGTTTTCATTGCGGTGACTATCAGTCATTGAAAGTTCAAAGGCACCATACATGCAGTCTCGACTTTCATGTTTTGGTCGTTCTGGAACCTTTTCTTGTCCCTGATTGCGAATATGTAGTCGAGACCCGTTTTGGAGGACCCGCAGTCCGGTTTTCCGGAAGGTGATTGGATGGGCACGTTGGCGGGCATTGCTGAAGGGGGCGGTCCCGACTTGGGGTTCTCATGCTTTTCGCTAGCTCGAAGCGATTGTCTCGCTCCCGATGCGAATTTGAATGCGACTTGGGCATTGGCTTGATAGGGGGTTCTTCTCCTTGTAAGCTGCCAGAAGCTCAAAACCCTCACTTAGGGTGAACGGTGCCTTTAAGCAAAGCCTTTTCATTATAATTTTACAAGCCCAGTTTGGCACTGTGTCATAATAGGGAATACGGGGAAAACGGTGAAGAGAAACTCTAGCTCAGCGTTATGTGTATCATAAAGAAACTAGCTGTTCAAATCTATCGCTTATGAGTTTGATGGCTTTTGTAAAATATTTGCAAGTTTACCGCTACTTGCAATTTCATTGCTTTTGCATTCTAAATTTTCGTTAGAAACATATATCGAGGCTTTGACACTAAGCAGCGCTACTTTATCTAATATCTTTTTGAAAGCTTGAGTCGCTTCTAAAGTGCGGTTCATAATTATACGAACACCCCAAGTTTTGGAAGTTCCTGGACTTTTTGACAGAAACTCAAAATTCCGTTGGTACCACGCGAAAGAGCACAGCCGAAAACGGTATATGATCCATAAGAATGGAAATAGATGTCAATTTTAGGAGTGTGTTTGCGCCTAATGCGAATTTTTAGCGGTTCATAATTATACGAACACCTCAAACAAAGGTCCATTTTTCATTCAAGATTGCAACCATCTGAGTTCAAATTTTTTGCAGAGTTACAGTAACAAAGTCTGACATATCTGCTACACACTGAACCCAGTGCAGTTCAAAAAGGGGACCGTTGCTTTTTTTCAGAAGGCTCTAAATGCCTTGGGAGTGATTGCGCTTTAAAAACATCCGTTCTTCTGTGGTTAACGCGCTCTAATTAGTTTCTACCAAAGCTATGAGATAAAATAAGCTCTTTCGATAGTATTTTGTTTGACGCTTGGAAAATCTTTGCTTTTTCGTGCCGTTTTTCAACCAAGTTCCAACCTTACCACAGAGTTAGCACGATTTTGAGCCTCAAAACTCTGCTTCTTTCTAGCGTAAACATTTGATATGAAGCCGCTGCATTGTTTGTATGATGATGTTTCTATGCCAAAGTTTTTGGGTTTTTTGTTGAACTGATCTTGAGGCTGTGGAGCTACAAATTAAATAAATGTGTGATTGCAATAGTAAAAACAGTGTTTTTGGTAAAAAGATGTCTGCGTGGCCAAAACAAACGCCCAACGCTGCTGATTTTTTCTAGCCAAATATATATTCTTGTGAACTTCTACATACTATATGCTTACTTCATTGTATGGCTTCAGAAGCTGAGTTTTGAGGTTCGAAATCGTGCTAACTCTGGGGTAAGGTTGGAACTTGGTTGGAAAACGGCACGAAAAAGCAAAGATTTTCCAAGCGTCAAACAAAATATCTATCGAAAGAGCTTATTTTATCTCATAGCTTTGGTAGAAACTAATTAGAGCGCGTTAACCACAGAAGAACGGATGTTTTTAAAGCGCAATCACTCCCAAGGCATTTAGAGCCTTCTGAAAAAAAGCAACGGTCCCCTTTTTGAACTGCACTGGGTTCAGTGTGTAGCAGATATGTCAGACTTTGTTACGGGGTGTTCGTATAAATATGAACCGCACTTTAGAGCGTAATGAAATTCTGATATGTGCTGAACAGTGACTACCCAAGGGGGGGGGGGGTAAAGATGAAGGTGTTCTGATGAAAGTGTGGCGAAATTTTTTATGATGAAGGTGCGTGGCGTTAGCCCGCGCTCCGAAAAATTTTTTGGCATGCCTCTATAAATTTTCGCGAGCCCATAACCCCGAAATTTCGGAAGAAACAGGCCGTAGCCGCCATGTCCTGAAGAAATTTTTTTTGTGAGCCTAAACTGAATTTTTTATTCAAAAAGTTATTACTTATTTACAGATGTAAGACTCTTTCTTTGCTCTACAAATTAAAACCCGCTAAACCAAACTGTTAAAAGGCAAACTTAAGCCAAGCCATGTCTCAATATAATTTTCTCTAGTTTGTCATAACAGCAGGAAGTGCTGAACTAGAAGTGTAGCTCACTTTTATGCCGCTGCTGTCAGAAATTTTTGTTGAACATCGTCGGAAATTTTCTCTGAGCTTCGAGATCTGAGCTTTGCTCCAAGTATCCGCATTGTTTATGAGCAGGTCTTCATTACTCAAAGGTGAGCAGCATTGCTACTTTAAAACAGCTGATCTACTTACATTACTGAGGAGGACTGTATTCGAGATGTGCATTGTAGAAGAATTATTTTTTCAGACTATCGGCATATTTCGGAGGATCTGTCTGAAACTACGCATATGAAGAGAATCAATCTGTGCAATGACTGTTTCAGTGGTAGAGTGCGCTTGAGCTTAGTATGCGCATAATATTCATAAAATGCTGCAGTTGTTTTGGTGTTTTTGCCTTTTTAGCTGCTGGTTATCAAAGCGCCTGGTATGTTTTTTTTGCTATGCTGGATAGTGTGACGATTTTTGAAAAAGCGGTTTCACATTTTGCATCAGTGTGTTCTAGCAGAAAGGGCATCTCAACCGGTTCAGTATCACCTTACACAGTGGAAGCCTTTTTTTCCACGAAAAATTAGTTGGGAATGAAGCGATGTGCCTTCAGACAAGGTCACGCGAATCTGTTCAGAGATGAAGCAGGGAAGGCTTGAAGTTCTATAAAAATAGGAGATGCTTGTTAATAACAGGCCTTGAGTAGAGCCAATGTGCGCATAAACTATCAATCATACATCTGTTTATTCTCAATGAATGATATGCTTTTCCGAATTGCGGGAAGTGCACTTGTGCCGACATACGTAACTTTATTTAAACAATAATCAAATGCTTGCATTGCGCAGAGGATATGAAGGGGAGAATTGAATTCAATAATCCTAAGACACTCATCTGTACCTTTGCCGCAAAATCTTTCGTAAAATTAACAAAGAGGGCAGTCATTGAGAATTTTGGCAGTACTTCATTCCATGTCAACACAGGAATCACAAACAAAGGACTTGGAGGTTCATCTATCCTTCGAAAGAGTCTTGCAAGGTGTTCTTGCTTCACACACGATTCAGAAAAATAAGGAAGAACTATTTTTGGAGAATTTTTATATACAAAAACAATGCAACTAATAGCCTGGTGGAGTACGTGCAACAGGACAGTGATCGCATGATCCCTTTGCTCCATCCTTTCCAGGGGGTCCTGGTGGTCCATTTTCTCCGTTCTTCCCGTCGGGTCCATCTGCTCCCGGATCTCCTTGGGGGCCGGGTTGTCCGTTTCGGCCAGGCTGTCCAGGACGACCTTCTGGTCCAGGTGGGCCTTGTGGTCCTGGCTCACCTGGTGGTCCCATTTTTCCAGACTCTGAGGGCATAGTTCGTACAGGTCCAGGTGGCCCCCGAGGTCCTGGTTCTCCATCCGCTCCTGCGGGTCCGGCTGGTCCACGCGGTCCAGGTGGGCCTTGATGGCCTGGAGGTCCAGCGGGTCCCCTCTGAAATAAGTAGTTTGAATGTTAATACGACCTCAACAGGATCCCACCTCTCCGGGTCCTCCAGGTGGTCCTGGCGGTCCCATAGGTCCAGGAACACCATCGGGTCCAGGAGGTGACGGCTCGCACTCAAAGCAGAAATCGTCTTTTGTTGGCACGGCGGTGGTGCTAGGTGCGTCAGCTCCGGGAGGTCCTGGTTTTCCAGGCTTTCCATCTGGTCCTGGATCACCATCTTCTCCTGGTGGTCCAACTGGTCCCGGTGCGCCGATACCGCAAGAGCAGCAAAGCTCAGGGTATTGCCGTTTTGCTCGAGTAGCCAATGTACGAACGCTTTCAAGCTGCAAATTAATTCTTTTAGTATAATGAAAAAATGCCTTTTTCTATTTTAAATGTAATTGGAGGGGACTGGAAAGTTCAAAATCCAAAGGCGTTTAAAAACGTTGAATCAGATTACTATGGGTGGTTCATAGGAATCTGACTGAGCGTCTTTAGATAAAAATCATACGCAATAGCTTTCGAGAACCTTCGGAAAATAAAAAATAAATAGCTCAGAAGGAACAAACAGCCTTTTACACAAATTTAATAGCGCTTCAAAAACGCACGCACTTTAAGAAAATTCAAGCGTACCTTGGAATATTCTCCACGCATTCTGGTGTTCCTCGTCCGACAATAAGAGAGCTCTTCCTGAATGCCAGACTGGATAGTATGCATGTGCATACAGAGCATAGGAACAGCAATAATCGCGGTCAGAGTAGCAATCGTAGAGACCGCGACTCCGACGAACGCGAATCGTTTTAGGCTTTCGTGTTCAGCCGCCTGTGCCTTAGTGCATTTGTCGCCGTCCATCGCGTAGGTAGTCGTCGACGATGCCGCAACGCTGAGCTTGACGCTCCTGTGCTTTTATAACAGGATACAGCGTAACCGCAGCGATGATAGTCCCGCCCTAGCCTGATATGTATGTGTGTGGCCGAAGGAGCACAAAAAAAGTTAATGCCAAAACTCGATTTTCTACCCCATAATGCCGAACCCGAAGAGAAGGTGTATATGTGGCTGGGTGTGTATTTCGATCTGTCACCAAATGTTGCTAGTGAGACGACATTCTCTTCACTTCGTTGAAAGTACAACGATGAGACGTTTTTAAGGCATCTGCGGGCACGAAAGGATAAAAACTAGTTTCGCGGTCTTACTGTCCAAAACGTTACAGTTGGACGGTGATGAATTTCTAGCTCTCTTCTCGTTGTGCCACTCCATGCTAGACCGTTCAAATTCGTTTCTCTTGAGACCATGCCAGCCTGAACCAAGCTTCGGCTGACCACGGATAAAAAAATCTTTGTGAACGTGATGCCCTTCCTGTCCCACTTTAAATTGTGACCGTCACAATTCAGCCCTTTTGATCAGCACCAAAACAGTAAACTAATTGGATTCCCTACGTGCCAACCAAGCCACGGTCTACAACAAAACAACGACAAAAAGCCTGATAGCAAAGAAAGTCCACGTTTAGCTATTGTAATCGCAAGGCAACGATCGTATTATAGACGGCTCTTTCATAGCAATTTCAGGTCTTATCTTATGCTCGCGGTTAGTTTCATTTTGAATCTTTATCACCAGTGGCTTAAGAGTGGGAAGGGATGAGGGGGAGGGGAGCACGCCCTCGAGGAAGGGTTGCAAATTTTTTGAAAATTGCTTACGTGAGTTATAGAAATGTGCAAATGACTTTTCATACTTGTAAATAATTTCAAAAAAAAATAATTCTATAAATGAGATAGGATTTCCTCCTTTTCCTGAGTAACCCGAAAAATTTTTTTGGGAAGCACCCGGAAATTTTTTGGCGAGACCTTCATACAAACCCCCCCCCCCACCCCCTTCCCCCTCCCCTCCCCCCCCCCCCGAACGGAATCTTGAGTACGCCACTGTTTCTCGCATGTCTGCACTCTGCATGACTTTTTTCAAATGACCGTTTAGCCGTGACAGAACAGCGAATTTTTATTGCACGTAGCAAAGCGTTTTGAGCAGGGAAAAGGCTTTTGCAGAAAAGGGAGGGCTCGGGCAAAATTGAAGCGGCCAATATGAATGAGACGGGCAAAAACCGCTCTAGCACAAGCTTGATATTATTCAGAATTATTTTGTAGGCTGCTACATGACGAAGGCGCATTTTTGGCGCGAAGGCAGTTTCTTTAGCCGCTGAGCGCATGAGGAGCAAGATTTACAACCTCTTACGCGCGCAGCATTCGCTCCCGCTCAACTAATAGTGCTTCTGCGACTTTGTGAAGCACCCTTTACACTGAAAGTGCAACGCGAGTTTTGAAAACCTCATTGATGAACAGACTATGCGATATTGATGCAAAGCAGGAGGCGCTATCAATTTCAATATTCATGGCTCTATTCATTGCCTTCCTAATGAGCTGTTCCAGATCTGCAGCTCTACTCTTGGTTTCTCCATACGTATTCTACAAATTCAGGTCAACAAGCAAGTTCGCAAGTTTTCCATGCAAGTGCCAAATCCGAAATTCATGTACTAGTTTTAGCAATACTTTTTGCATGTGACGGGTAACACTGCACAACAAAATTCTTGTGCCAAAGCGCATGTTCGGTCAACATAACGTAGGCTGATTGCACTGAAAGCAACAGCTCTCTATCTTAGATAAAGCTAGACTAGTGAGAGTTGAAATTTCGCTCAAAGATTTTAGAGTTTCTGGAAATAATTTATTTGCTCTCATGATAAGTGCAAGGGAAATCTTTGAAAAAGTAAGTGCAGAGAAAAAATCTCCAAAAAGGGATTTTTGGTATACACGGGATTTTTTTGTATTGGTAAAAACCTCAGGCGGTATATCTCATGTGATTGTAGTCATTCACCAATGATAGTAGCTCAAAAAGCCTCATGTGTGTAGATCTTTACCCGACGTGATATGTACGATGACTCATTAATGCGACTGATTACGTCACATGTTTGAGTATAAGGTATTTAAAAAATCGTGAGATGGCGCGACCGCACGCTACACGCTCGCCACTTCTGAAAACCGCATTTTCTTGGTTTTCATCTTTAGTCGAATAGTTTTCTGCTTACGTATGATCGTATTTAGACACTGGAAGTGACTGAGCTGAGCGTTGAGGTGATATCTTCTTATATGAGCGTTTTATGCTCATGTGGGTGCAAAGTCCGCAGTCGAATCCGTCGTCACGATTTTATAAATGACTTATACAAATCATATTTGTTTGGAGGATCTCGTAAGTCAACAATGCAATTGCCGCCGTATATATAGCTCAAAGCCAAGCAAAAATTAATCGATGCCACGACAATCTGTGGTGATCTGCATAGCATACTCTTTCGTTTTTTTAAACAATTTGATGCCTAGCAGCCTGGGCACAATGATCAAAATGTCTAGACACCCTTTTTTGACAGTGGGAATTTGGCGCTTCGCCATGCGCAATAGCAGAGGTGCAGTCGATCGCATATGAACACTTTCAGAACTTCGTTAATATTAATGTATTATCAACCAAATATCTTCAAAGTAATGTTGAAATGAATGTCTGAGTATCCAATTACTCGAGTGGTAATATGCTTATCTCCAAGCGTCTTATTCATCTACCACTCATTACTTTCAAGCAAATAGTTTTGGAAAAAGAAACATCTGAAAAGCGTGGATTTTGCTACTATAATTTTGCAACTATAAGTGCTAAAGAACAGCAACAGTGCTTTTCAATACATATGATTGATCTTAAGGTTTTTCTGCTGTAAGCGTAAGCTTGCCTTCAAAGCTTACGTTCATTCGCAGAAAGCAAACGTGAATGTCTACCGCTTCACTACTCCATAAATCTTCAGTTTCACTGCTATACAGAAGCAAGAAAAAATCTGAGATAAAAAGCCGTCATACTGGTGTGATCGTTCATTTTTGAGTGCTCCGTCACTAACCTCCAACACGTAAACTCAAGGCCGAACTCATTTTGTTTGCAGCGGCGATGGTGCTATGATGACATTAATCCGTGCACTACATTAATTAGTGCATCCATATCTTTCAAAATTTGGGTTAATTTTGCAGATTTTATAATGGTGTAAGAAGGAAAATTGATAGGAAATGTTGCATACCATTAAATTACGATCAATGTAAGAGATAACAATGACTGGTAGACAGCAAAAAAAAATCCATGATTCTGCGATGGAAATTGCATGACCTGTCTGCATACAGCGGCAAGTTTTTGAAACGAAGTCCCTTTAGATTCAAAACTTACGAGGTTCCTTGGGACTCCTCGACCCCGCTACTCGCTACTTCTTAATCGTTCTTTTTGCTTATGCTGTCTCTCACCCAAAAATGGATGTTATATGGGTAAACCGGGCTCTGGGCTCTTTTGCCATATGTAGATAATTCAAAATTCAATACTTTCTGCATCATGCTCCGAATGCTTTTTCCAACGTCGAAATTGAAACTTATAGCACTTGTTTCCTTTGCTTCGCAGATTCCTCAATCAGTTTCCACTTTATCCCCCCCCCTCTCCGCTACCCCATCCACTCCCCCCTTCCTCCACCATATGAATGTTAAAAAATGGTTCAACAAGAAAGAACATGGAAAGAAAAAGGGGATAGAAAGTCAAGCATAATAAACACGGAACATGGTTTGCTTAAAGGCGCGTTTGCGATTGGAGCAGATTGCGCCCCCAATAATTTTATGAGGGTTATAAAAAATCTGGAGAAAAGATTAAGCCGTTTTGTATTTACGGACTATATAGAAACGCTATTCTTTTTTGCTTTTCCTCTCAAATACAATAACCATTGTTCCTATGTTTCTTCCAGCTATGCCGAGCACTGTACAGGAGTATGTCTATCGCCATGAGCATAATCGAGCAAGAAGTGTGGTACACGACCGGGACTCTTTCCTTCTCTCCCCCCCTCCCCCTCCCGCACCCAGCATTATCGCTTCTACCACCTTAGATATAACATAAAGACCCTACCAAACATAATGAAATATTGGTAATTAGCATGCCAAATAACTCTGATGGACAAACTTTCAACGAACATTGAGGTTTCTGAGTTGGGACACTCATGTGAAATGGTCATTTTCAAACATGATTAACTACGCTTTAAAGGTTAGTCAGTTCTCCAGTCAACACCTCTTTTTGCAACTAGCACAAAGCACTACTCCCTTTTATGCCCACATGAAAAAATACTCTGATTAACTGCTAGACTATGAAACTAGGAGTCAGATTGATCGTATAAAATCAGCTGATGCTGCGGCTAGATAAATTTTATGTGTAAATGACAAAAAGCTTCCTTTATTCATGCTTACTGTACGTATACAAAGATAGGTCAATACTACAGTGTGCCTCTATTTTGCCCAGTAAGCTTATGTGACTTTGTTGATACATATTTGTATGACAACGTGATACTGTTGCTATCATGCTAATAACAACAGTATCTGTCGATTACGTCCCTTTCCCTCTCTGCCCCCCCCCCTCTCCTTTCCTTTACCTCCCCCGCTCTCCCCTCTCCAATACGACTCCCAGGCTGGCTGCCACTTATTATCAAAAAACGATAATATTGTCATTCTACAGTCATATAAGAGATAAGCATACGCTGTTGATAACTTTAGACTATGTGCAGCGACAATAATTACTCGTTTGCCCAAGCAATCCAGAGTGTATGAAATTCCTGTAATAACGCTGAATTCGAAAAGACGCAAAAAATGGCTTCGATTCCAGTGCTGCTGCTTGCAGTGTAATACTCCTTCAGACCCCGCAAACTTTGATCTTCCTGACCTGAGGGGACGAACTACATAGTGTCTTGCGTATCAGCTTTCTGGCAGCGAGGGGTAACTGCGTTAAGACACTAAATTGATGCATACTTCCTTTTGAACACACTCACTCCACTAGCGAGAACTACCCATATAAGTAATTCCAGAATCGTAGTACAAGCTCTGACTGTCTCAACATATTACCGCAGGGTTTTATCAATAAACATAGAATGCCACA